CAAAACAGTCAGGTTATGGGATATAGAAACCAAAACATGTCTCAAACTGTTTGCCCATAATGACTATGGTAAGACAAATCTTTTGTATCCTATCTTCACATCTAGCTATTAATTTTCTGCATGCACTTTTGACTATATTGTCTCATTGATTCAACAGTGACATGTATTCAGTTCAGTCCAGTGGATGAAAATTATTTCTTAAGTGGTTCACTTGACGCTAAAATAAGGATATGGAGCATACAAGATCGACATGTTGTGGAATGGAGTGATCTTCATGAAATGGTTACTGCTGCTTGCTACACACCAGACGGTCAGGTATTTGCTCTGTTTTTTTGCTCTGTTTTTTGCTCTGTTTCTTGGAGTAGTCTACAAAATCCATCCATTATGGTGTTTTTATAATGATGGAAGTTTTGGTTTTTTCGGTTGAAGGGTGCACTTATCGGGTCACATAAAGGAATTTGTCGTGCTTACGATACAGAAGGTTCTTCCTAAGCTCTTTCTGTATCAAACATCATGTTTACCAGTTGAATACTTCTTTTCATTGCGACGCGCTTTTTTCTTCTGTAGAACAGATTGTAAGCTGAGCCAAACTAATCAGATTGATGTTCAGAGCAACAAGAAATCACAAGCGAAAAGGAAGATCACTAGTTTTCAGGTTCCTTTCTTTAAAAGCCAAAATCCTTCTTAAGACTTTAGTAAACTAAAATGTTAACAAGTTGTTGATGCCATTATATAGTTTTCCCCGGTGAATCCATCTGAAGTTCTTGTCACATCCGCTGATTCACGGATTCGAATACTAGACGGTTCTGAAGTTATTCACAAATTCAAAGGTAAATTCTCTACAAGCACTAGAGCCAAGATGAACAAAAACAAAAACTGATACTTTTTATTGACAGGCTTTAGAAACACATGTAGCCAACTCTCTGCTTCGTATAGCCAAGATGGGAAATACATAATATGTGCGAGTGAAGACTCTCAAGTTTACTTATGGAAGAATGACTTTCACCGAACAAGATCAACACTCACGACACAATCTCACGAACATTTTCATTGCAAAGATGTCTCAGCCGCTGTTCCTTGGCATGGTCATGTTAGAGGTGAGCCACCACCAGTTCAGATTCACTCTAAACGCCACTCAAAGCGCATATCTACTTCAAGCCAGCCTTCATCCACCATAAGCTCACCAACAAAAGAAGAAACCTCGGCGACTGGACCAACTACATCTAACCGGAATAAAAAATCAGGGTTACCTCCAATGCCTAAGAAAGCCGCTACAAAGAGTCAGATTCAACCAGAGGAAGAGGCAGGACCGGAGCTGGGAAGCAGTGAGTCGTTTCGGTCGAGTATGAACTCTTCGGAGCAGCATTCATCGAGGTTTGGGGAATCTCCATCGATAAACACATCGTCAAGGTTATCTTCTTGGTCATGGTTCGACAGTGGAGGGCATGGTCCGCAAACTATACAGCCAACGGCTTGGGGGATGGTGATTGTGACGGCTACAGTTCATGGTGAGATCCGATCTTATCAAAACTTTGGTTTACCGAGAAGAATCGGTCGCCAAACTACTCTGTTTTGATTTTAAAAAGGAAGGAACCGGTGTTTTATTTTTCTTGATTTGTATCTTTGTTGCTTGTAGAGTACGTAAAGAAACCTTCTTATACAGAAACAACCGTCTTATAGTGTTGAGAAACCTCTCTCGACGTTCAAAATATTGAGTTGTATACACAGAAAAATTTGTGTAGTTCTCCAAATAGAAATCAAACAGTAAAACTATGTTACTTCAATTAATTAGATGTTCTTCGATCATTCGTGGGAGATAGGCCATGGCCCAATTTAAAATCAGGCCCGTTTAAAGCGTAATTAGAATGAAACAAAAAGACAAATATAATTCAAAGATAAGGTGACGTGGCGAAAATCGGAAATTTGCGATATTTCTCACTCTCTCGTCTTCTTCGTCTGAGCTATC